GACCCACCACCAAGGCCCTAACACTCCACTCCACCAAAACTAATTTGGTATTGAATCCAGCTCAAATTCTATGTCCATAAATATCTATATCCAAACAGACCCTAAAGAGATTCGGTTTTGTAGTAGAGAAGCGACTTTTCTGGAAGAGCGAGCGCTAAAACTGTTTGGGATCGAGCCAAAAGAGGCCCTCACTAGCAACCCGTTGGAACTAGCACATCTAGTTAGAACACATGGAAAATATATAGAAAAAAACATTAATCAACTATAGACAAGTTGCAACCAATTGCGGACGAGCTGCAACAAGAAGTCACCATGAGAGTATGAGCCTGTTTGGTAGAGCTCTATATGATTTTGATTCTCTATGATAGCCGATTCTGTGAGGGAAGTGATTCTACGGCTAAAAGTTATTATCTTTGATTTCTTAGCATAAACTCTCCAAATCATGACGGAGAATTATTTCAAAGAACCAGGAGGGACTACTTTTTTTAGCTCACAACCTCTTAATTCATTTCACAGAATCACTTCGTGGAATCAGTAGAAGAATTACTTCTCTCTGAAAACCAATTTAGCAGAGATTCTTCTGAATTTAGCAAAGAATTAGCTCTGAGAGCTCTGCCATGAAAAACACACATGATATATATATATGTTCATGTTTTCAAATGGCCCGCAATTGGGTAGGTAAGATATCACATCTAATAAATTATACACACACCTTTTTTCAGTTATAAAAATATACCTTATATCGTCCCCTTATCGGAGACTGGGTCCTGATTATGGGCCTTTGGGTACTGTTTGTGGGCCTGTCCACCGGTAGCCATTGCCGTTGCTGCAGCAGCAGCTACAGTTCCCTCTCATTCTCAACGTGCAGTAGGCTCAGCAGCAGGTACAAGCTACAGTCTTTTCGTCGGCAACGATCCAGTGCCACTACTCTATATTACAATATATATGTGATATACATCCTAATAGCCTGAACTCTTCAAAAAAAATTCTTGGGCAAGGGTGGGCCGGCGCCCAGGTTGGCTGATGGGTAGCTCCGCCAGTGAATAAGATGGTATCTATAGGCGAAAACAAATAAGGCATGTACAATAGGATAGGCAAAACAAAAAAGTGAAAAACGATGTGTTGCAAATTGGGCCTCAATTGGTTTAGGAAAAAATGCATTGGGCCTCAAACCTAATAAAAATTGAAGCACAAATCTTCCCGTATATGCAGTCAACATGGCCCCCAAATGTTAGTCACTGTTTACTTCCGAGACGTCCGCTTGCAAACATGCCACAGCTTTACGATGTGATACTTACTAAGATTTACCATTTTTATTGTGTTTGGTGATGATGATTAACGTTTAGGTTATGTTAGGATCCTCTAATTAGTAATAGTAAGATAGGGTTGTAGGTATTTGTGGATCAAAGTTTATACTGTAGCGTGACGCGTGCGTTGTCTGCGGTACCGTTACAATTATATATACAGCTGTATATATTGTAGCACCGTGTTGGGCACATGTGCTGTCGCACCGTTGTTCGTTCCAGCCATACAGTGCTACTTCATCCTCCTCTTGAGGTCATCAGCTCACACTTATACCCAAACACGTGATTCACTTATTTTTATGTGGTTATATCAGAATATAAGTTAAAAGTAGCGGGATTTCAGCCAACTAATAACTGCCCAGCTGGCCAGCTATGAATAACCATTGGGCAGCAAACCCACCACTATTAACACTTCTGTATCAGGGGCGGTCGGTTTTCTCCACAAAGAGCAATGGATGTTTTTTATATGTATGATGAGCAAATATCAAATTTATCTTTTAGTTCCCAGCTTCTCATAGCTTCTACAATCCTACTCTGTATGCCACTTGTCTTTTGTAGTCGCCTGATCTTAATTAGTTTGCCTATGTTGCCTTCTAGATAGAGCTGAGTAATTGACATGGTTTGCTGTTAGATGATGGTTAGCCTCTACTTATGGGTCCATGTATATGGTCGTGAAGCCATCTACTGATATATTTCCCCCTTGATTTCAAGCACTAGGCATTTCAGTGGGAAAAAATTCAACAAACTTATCTATACATCACAGAAGATCAACAGATGCATCGTGACAACGTTTTATTTTGCATGATGCTCTACCATCTTGAAACTCAGTGAAATTTCTGTATTGTAGTATTAGGAGTTCAATGATGCGTCATTCAGAAAAGTGAACCCTTTTACTGCTCTTCCTCAGCCAAAGATTAACTAATTTGAGGCCAACGTCTATCGTCTAAGTAACACTGAATTAGTATGCATATGGAATAATAACATTTGTGTGAAGACCTTGTATCTGTTTTGTCTAATATTCCTAAAAAAATAGGAGAAGTTGTTTTGCAACATTTCTATAATACCTTGGAGCTATTCGGCTGATGGTTTCTGCTACCGATAAGCCGGCTGAAGCTGATTTATTGTGAGAGAAAAACACTGTTCCCTTTAGGGTCTGTTTGGATACAGATATTCGACCTCTGAATTTAGAATTGGTATTGGGTAGCTATGAATGTAGTTGTTGGGATACGGTTAATAACTCCGAACTGGAACTGGAATTCGAGCCCAATATTATATACCAAGTGGCATTCACTATACTTGCACCCCTATTCTTCAATACTGAGCCATGTCCCTCTATATTGCTTTGCATTGATCAGACTGACCCACCACGCCCTAACACTCCGCTGCCCGACCCACCACCAAGGCCCTAACACTCCACTCCACCAAAACTAATTTGGTATTGAATCCAGCTCAAATTCTATGTCCATAAATATCTATATCCAAACAGACCCTAAAGGGATTCGGTTTTGTAGTAGAGAAGCGACTTTTCTGGAAGAGCGAGCGCTGAAACCGTTTGGGAACGAGCCAAAGAGGCCCTCACTAGCAACCCGTTGGAACTAGCACATGTAGTTAGAACACATGGAAAATATATATAAAAATACATTAATCAACTATAAACAAGTTGCAACCAATTGCGGACGAGCTGCAACAAGAAGTCACCATGAGAGTATGAGCCTGTTTGGTAGAGCTCTGTATGATTTTGATTCTCTATGATGGCCGATTCTGTGAGGGAAGTGATTCTGTGGCTAAAAGTTATTATCTTTGATTTCTTAGCATAAACTCTCCAATCATGATGGAGAATTATTTCAAAGAACCAGGAGGAACTACTTTTTTTTAGCTCACAACCTCTTAATTCATTTCACAGAATCACTTCGTGGAATCAGTAGATGAATTACTTCTCTCTAAAAATATATTTAGCAGAGATTCTTCTGAATTTAGCAAAGAATCAGCTCTGAGAGCTCTGCCATGAAAAACACACATGATATATATATGTTCATGTTTTCAAATGGCCCGCAATTGGATAGGTAAGATGTCACATCTACTAAATTATACACACATCTTTTTTTAGTTATAAAAATATACCTTATATCGTCCCCTTATCGGAGACTAGGTCCTGATTATGGGCCTTTGGGTACTGTTTGTGGGCCTGTCCACTGGTAGCCATTGCCGTTGCTGCAGCAGCAGCTACAGTCCCTCTCATTCTCAACGTGCAGTAGGGTCAGCAGCAGGTACAAGCTACAGTCTTTTCGTTGGCAACGATCCACTGCCACTACTTTATATTACAATATATATCTGATATACATCCTAATAGCCTGCACTCGGTTCAGAACTAGCTAGGGAGCTGGACTTTGAAGGGAAGAAGCTTAGTGGCGAGTCTGAAGGTACGCATATGTGTTCTTCTTTCTAGAAAAGTTGAATTCCCTTTTTTGGCCTTAAATCGATGAATTTGCCTGGCTTGAGAATTTGACTCAATTCTAGGAGATTCGGTTAGGACATGGACTTTAGGAATTTGGACGTATTGCTCAGGAGCCTGCCACTGCCAGCTCCAATTTTGAGTCTAGTGACCGCCGCGCCCGGTGGAAGTTAATCGACGAGCTGCCGCCGCCGACTTCCCGCTCCGCCATGTGATACGCGCGGCTTCTATTGGATTGGGATTTGGATGTGGCGGTCGCCAGCCGGGCCATTTTCATTCCAGTCGCCGGCACCCGGCGGAGGCCGAGTTCGCCTTCTCCGCTCTCTGCGGCAGAAGCAATGGAAACTCATTGCCTGCTTGTTCTGTGTGCAACGGCGTGCAAATCCAAGTGGTTCCGGTGGGTTTTATTCTACTAGATATATGCCCCTGCGTTGTACGAGGGTCACAAGTTTTTGCGATGCCTACAACGACGCACGTGGCTTACGGCTTAGATGATCATACACTTGTGTGGCCTCACCTACTTGCGCACATGCAGGTTTCTTGTGGCCACGTCAAGAACACTACGTGAAAAACGATCTTTAGCAACCGAACAAATTTTTTGTAGAGACGGCTGGTGATGGAGCCGCCCCTACAGTGACGTGTTCGGGAGGCCATAAACCAGCCGCCCCTACAAATAGAATAGCAGGGGCGGCTGGTGATACGAGCCGCCTCTACAAATAGATCGGGTTTGTAGGGGCGGCTCACTCACCAGCCGCCCCCAGGATTATCATTTGTAGGGGCGGCTCGATCACCGACCGCCCCTACCAATTGTTGCACGTATAAAAAGCCTCCTCGCGTCTCTCACTCCCGCACCGCCTCCACCCGCTCGCAGCTCCCTCCCTCCCTCCCTCCCTCCCTCGGCTCCGCTGCCCTCCTCCTCGCCTTTTCCGCTTAGATCCGGCTTCCCCGCCCTCATCGCCTTCCCCGCGCAGATCCAGCCTCCTCCTCGCCTCCCCCGCCCTCCTCCTCGCCTTCCCCGCACAACTGCGGCAGCGCTGAGCCCCGGCCGAGGCAGTGCACGGGTGCTGGCTGGTGGCCGCCGGCAGATCCGGCCACGGTAGCCTAGATCCGGTCCCCACCCCCACGCCTTCCTTCCTGCCTGCCTGGAGGCCAGAGCGGAGAGGGGACGCTACGGCGACTTGGAGCGGCAATCGATGGGCATGGCGGTGCCGTTGCCCGGGTAGTTGAAGAGGAAGCGGCAGGAGATGCGGGTCCAGAACTGGAGCGAGGTGAAGATGCCGACCTTCCAGGTGGTGCGCGCCTTGCCGAAGAGGTCGAGCGGCACGACGGACTCCCGGAGCGCGCCGGTCCCCATTGCCATCTTGATGCACCACGCCGATCTCCCACAGCCCCACATCGCCATAGCCTGCAGCCCCGCACCGCGCCCCTCGCCACATCCGCAGCCTCGCACCGTGTGCCTCTCCCCCACAGCCCCATACCTCGCCTCTCACCACAGCCCGCTGGCGCTCTGGCGTGGATCGAGTGAGGCATGGATCCGCCATCTGTTCCCCAAGGCATGCCTCTCGTGGCGGCAGCGGCCAGATCTCTTTGTCGACGACCTCGGCGGCGTGGAGCTCCTCCGGTTGCGGTGCTTTAGGAGCTATGACGGCAAAGAATCTGGCAGGTGAAATCAGTAGATTCGTTCTTCCCTTCTTGGACAATGCCTCTGCTCAAAGGAAGATATGGCCAAATGTGTGTAAAGAGATGGTTGAATCATCATATTCTATCATCTCTATACTAGTAGAGATTAGAAATTTGATATGTATTTTCCTTTGAAGAAGGATATGATAGGTTTTTAGTCTATCTGCTTCTGTACTAGTAGAGATTAAAAATTGGCTAAGAACATTATGCTGTCGTATTTACAGTTGGTCTTTGAAACTGAACAACGGAGTAAGAATATGAAGATGTTGTGCAGTTGATCTGAACTATGCATGTTATCACCTTAAGAAAGGAGAAATTAGGTGTACCATCCTAATCTGTAATAGCTATTGAACTCTGGATGTCTTTTCATATAAGCTCAGTATTGAACTCTACATGTTCTCAGCCTATTCTGTAACTTCATTCATATTGTGGTCACATAGGGATATAGGTTTGGCTCGAGAAGAGGCTAGCGCATTGAACACATATGTTGTAATGAAGTCCGGTGGCGCACAGGCCTGGAGTGCGGATCGATGCGGGCGTGGTGAGCTCGGCGGCCAGGAGCTCCTCCTCCTCCGTGGCTACATCCACTCTGGTATGAAATATTGTTAGTGTCAAGAAAGTAGGAAATATTTTTAGTTTGTTGTAGATGGCAAGTAAACGTTGGTCTGTTGATCCACCATTTTACCTTGAGTAATAGTTAGTTGTATCCTACTTGATGCTTTCAACTGGAATGCTTAATAACCAAGTAGTGTTTTATTTTTCATTCTTGTTGTTAATAATGATTAGTTATATTTTCTAAGGGAGTTTATTCATCATATGTTGCTTTCCTTTTCAATTTCATTGGTAATGATAATTAGATTTGCTTATAGAGAACAGAAGCTACAAGACGATAGAAACCTGAAGAACATTATCCTGGAAAAAGATAAAAGATAGAAAGGTACTCATCCTTTCATATTTTTTTATAACCTAACTTCTGTGTTTTTCTGCTTTTAATTAATAGAATGTGTGCCAACGATCAACAATCTGAAACTATGGGTTTAGGAAAACTGTAGGCATCCTTTTGAGCTGGTCCTTCTATGAACGGTCATACCAAGAAAACATATATTTTCTTTATGTCTGATCCCTTCACAATATGTTTTTGTGATGGCAATGTCATTATATCTTTGCTCTTCTGCATATGTTCTTTTATTTTTATTAGTTCCTGCATTTTTTGTCATGGACTTCAGATTGATTTCTTTTTTGTTTTCGTATACAGGTTCAGTTTGAGTGATCCTTATCTATACAAGTTTAGTATTTCTTCCATCTTATATGCCCAGCCTGCAAAGAAAAAGTTCTGTTTTTTTCTTAGCTGAAGTAGTTTGACTTTGTAGGCAATAGCTCTGACAGATTGCCATGGTGTTCCTGTGAATATTTTCCCTACTTCTATACTTGCTGCAGAGCTGTCATACCTTTATATTTAGTTTTTAAATGTTATATCATTGTTTAAATCCTCATATTTGAAGGGCAGTGTATGGGCTTCATTACCGCCACTTAAAAATGGATCTACAGAGCATCAGAAACCTTTAATATTGGCTATTGCATCCCAAGACTCTGCATCGTTTTTTCGGGACCGTAGTCTTGGTTCAGATTCTCCCATATCTGTAAGTTGCTAGTTTGCTAACGGTTTGCGATTGTCCTATTCATATTATTTACTTATGCCAGATAAATAATTTCTTGAGTTGTTTCACTGGGATTGATTGCCTTGCTCACTGCTGTTGATGCTCTTTCTCACATTCATGATTTAAGCAACCTTAAGAAACAGGTATGATATGACCACTGATTTTGTTTGCTAGTTGCTCCCATGTTATTATGCTGGATATTCTTTTCTCTCTTACTTAGAGCAGGTATCCAGCAAATCTTATCCACCAATTTATCTTTTCTTCTATTATACTTGTCGTGAGGTCCAACCTACTGGTTTCATTCAGCTCGATACACCTGTAGAAGGATTGAGAGAATGGCTGGATGCTGTTCAGACAGCGGATACCTTGTGCTGTCGCATCATCCCTTGACAGGAGATGCATGATCAAAGCTTTGGATCGGATGGCACTAAGCAAATATTTCAAGGTGATTTGAGCTACCGTTTGAGCTTTTCAAGTTTATTACTGAATTACTGTTGCCTGAAAAGCATGCTGCTTAGCAAAGTTCATTTGATTCACTTCAGTTGTTGACTACAGGCGATTGTGACTGACGAAGATGATATGGAGTCGATAGCAAATAGGTTTCTGTCAGCTGATATGGACTTGCAGAAGCAGATAATCGAGAAGTCACCTCCCAAGAGGAGGCTGACAGTAGACACCATTTTCTGATGGATATACTTTTTATTTGGTGTCTGCCTGTTGTTCTTGAGTAGCCAACCACCTTCGACATTGTGTGTTGGCATTGTATATAAGATAGTGCTGATGTTAGGTGATCTGCTGTGCCCCTCCTTGTGAATGCAATGCAGTAGTTCCATCAAGGTACCATGAAGAAGACTGCTGCATCAATGTTGCTGTTGATGTAAGCTGATATTATTGTAAATTTAATTTTTTTTTGCGGAAAAATGATTTGTAGGGGCGGTTGGTACTGTAGCCGCCCCTACAAATCGATTTGTAGGGGCGGCTACAGTACCAGCCGCCTCTACAAATCGATTTGTAGAGACGGCTACAGTACCAGCCGCCCCTACAAATCAGTGATTTGTAGCCACCCTTTCATAGGGGCGGCTGGTAAAACCGCCCCTACAAAGGCTTACCAACCGCCCCTAAAAAATGTTTTTTACGTAGTGGAAGAATCCAGCTCTCAAAACCATGGGCATGCTTGGTTTCGTGTGGACCTTGTGTGGCCTCACCTACCTGCGCAGATGCATGTAACAAGAAAATTGCCCGCTCAAGCGAGCCATTTTGCCTCTCCCTCAGGAGCAAGCTAAACCTTGCCCGAACAATCCCCAAAAACTTGAGCCGAAGAACCAAACACACATCCTTAATCGCTATCCTTGCTCGGTAAAGCATCACAATGCATGGCGAAGGATACAAGGAGGCCCATCTCTCAACGCATATAGTTTCTCATGAGTCCCACAACACTAATTGCTATCTATCAGTCATATTTTGGGCCTGTATGATATAACTTTACTGGTGGAGCTGTTTTTATCGGCTTCAGCTCCATGGCAGCTCTGGGGATGAAGTGAAGCTGTTATTATAGTGGATAAAAAGGATAAAATGTCTAAAATACCTTTCTCTTTTTTTTCTTCTGTTTTCCTTTATTTTTTTTTCTTTTTTTCTTCTCCGCTCTTATCCTTTACCGTCCCTTATCCTCGCCGAAGTTACTTCCTTGCGTACAAACAGTGGCCCCTAAAGCCTAGGTCTGCGTGCCTCAGCACCCACAACATCATGAAGCTCCGCGCGTCAGCGCCACGGCGATCTCGCGGTTGCGCGGCCCGATGCCCACGCCCACGCTCCAATGGCTGTAGCCGTGTGTCCATGCCTGGCAGCCGCGCCCGGCAACTCCTCCGTGCCCGGTGGCCATGGCTACGACTACCTCGACGGCAGCACCCGACGGCTTCTTTCTCTGCGTCTGTGACAGCGACCGTCTTCCCCGCGTGCGTAGCCGCACTCACGTCAGGGGCAAATTCGCCCACGGTGCACAGACCTGAGCAGGGAGCAGGGCGACGCGCCTCTGGGAGCGCTACCAAACGGTGCCGAGGCGAGCTCTTGTGTCTGTGTGTATGTGCATGGATCGTATTCTATTTCTGTATTTCACAGGAGGGAGAGAACTGAGACGGACTCGATCCAGCGTCGGGTGGGCACGCGCGCGCGAAGATGTGTTGGACGAAAGCCCTTCTTATTTTTTAGGTGTAACAGATTTAAATTTAATATACACGGCTTTTTCCAACAGATACTTAGAAATATAATGTTAAAATGGTAGAAGAGTAAAGGTGCTCATTATTAGAATTCGTAATGAAGCTTCAGGGCAAAAAACTATCAATAAAGGTTTTGTTCTCACTAATTTATTGAATGGTCATAATATTTAATTTTTAATTGCTCTATACCACAACGAAAACCGAATCGTTTTTTTAATGGTATTCTGTTTCCATGATTTAAAATTATGGCAGAAAAGCTTATTTACTGGCAACTAATAATTGGGTTGCCAGAATTTGTTTTAGCAAAAAACTAGAAGAAAAAATGGCACATGGCTTGGATCTTGAACCCATGACCTATTTTTTGGTCATAAAATGTTGTTTTACTACTACAATAAGAATATATTTTCAAACTATTTCACTCATTTTTTCATGTACTATATGGCGCTATGGGAATACATGTTAAAAAAAAGGAAAAAAATAATCTGCCTAATCTTCTCTGGTTCTAAAGTGTCCCATTAGCATTCACACGGCCTAGTCCGATGTCACCTCCTTAGTGGCCATTACCTCAGCCCATTCGCCTCCAGGCCATTCCCATGCACACACCTCCAATGTGGCCCATTTGAATAATGGGCATGGAAAATTTAAAAAAGCACGTACCTTAGCCACTTGAACTCATTAACTAGCAATTAGGCGAAAGTGGTTGTACACTTGTACCAGTAAGATACAGAGTTTTCTTTGTGTGTTCCTACACTTTATTTTATATATATTTAAATTTTAGCAGCTTATGTACCCTTGTGCCCTTGTGCGCGCTCTAGGACTTTGGCTAGTGAAAGTAGTTGCAGTGTACTCAGTTTGTACCTACGGTTCTCCATTTGTGATCGGGCAATCTTGCCACTCGGTTTTCTGTAATGCCTGCCAACAAAAGTGGTTATATGTCAATTGGTATATGTTGCCACAATTTTGGCCCTATTATATTGCCACGAATTTTTGTTGTGGCGAGAGGGGGATTTTCTAGTCATCCTGGACACAGAATGAGAAAACACAGGGCCCCGAGGCCTTGGAGGGTCAGAGGGGTAGAACAGTGGTGCCACAATGTTGGAGATAGCTTGCTTCGGGGTTACCTTGGGATTGTCCACTACGAATCTTCTCCACCAAGGAAGGGGTCTCCTCACCCGCCACCCCAAAGTGCCCACCTCTCCACGCCAAGCCTGGAGGGTCGGTCATCGGTGTTGCTAGTGAGCCACAAAGATAACTTAATTTACTTTTGTCATAGTTTTACTGCATTATTACAGTCTATCTCATCAAATAAGATTACTCCGATGCTTGGAAGTTATTCCATTCCAAAATAGTACAACAAACGATTTTACTTGGCATGGTATTCAAGACAACACATTGGACACTAGTTTCTCTTATACTCATCATCTATGGCATCAAAAGTTTGATCATTAGGAAGTATTTCTAAATATAAATTGAGCGCAAACCTTTTGTGGCACAAGCTTTTCATATCGTTGAATTAATTTTTAATCAAAGATTATGATGTTTGAATCTAGAAATACATGCTCGCTTTATATTTTAGGATGCAAGGATAAGTATACATCAATTTTTTTTCTTTTGTTTTACTATATTTTTTCATTGCCTTTGATTTTATTGTCTCTATAACCTGGTGTGCTCAGAAGAATCTTTAGGTCGTAAGAAATACCTGAATTTCTTACCATGTAAACAAACACAAATGTTTGTTATAGCTAAGCTGTAAAATATGTTTCCATATTTCATTTGTTTGATGACATAAAGACCATTTACATGTAAACAGTTAATGTAACTTCCAACTCAACCTCATTTTTATGTAGTGCTTTCATCAACACCAAGCTGCTGCGCTCTGTCAGTCTACCAATAACTGTGTCAGCATGGATATGACAAATGACATCGTGTGGCTCACCATAGCACTTGCTTCCATCACCGTGGTAATTACCAAGGCTAAAAGGAAAACAGCTAAGCTTGATCCAAAATGCATTAGGATGCCTCCACCAGCAGTGAAGGGTCTTTCTATCATTAGAATTTTGCATACACTTCTTACGAAAGGTCTGCAACAAATGATCCATGATCAATATAAAAAGTTGGGGAGTGTGTTCACAGTACGTTTCTTTAGAATGAAGGCAACGTTCTTGATTGGGCCAGAGGTCTCTGCTCATTTTTATCAAGGCACCGATTATGAGATTAGCAATGGTGTTGGCCTCGAGTTTACTGTACCCATGCTTGGCAAAGAGGTTGGCTATGGCGTGGACAGTGCCACCCGAAATGAGCAGTTTCGTGTCTTCTATGATGTTCTAAAACCATCAAAGTTGAGGAGCCATTATGGTTCCATACTTCAAGAAGTGGAGGTAAGTAACAATTGACCATGTCTGAAGTTTGATGCCTCATCTTCCATGACACCTTAATCAAACTTTGATGCCTTACATTTATGGTGCCTGAATCAAACCTGGTTAATTATTATTTCTCCTATAATCTGTAGTCTTTCAAACCATCATGAAACTTGGTTTTGTTTTATATTTGAACCATTTATGAAAAGTACACAAGAAACAATTTTGTCTTGAACAAACTTTTACTGACTATGCTTCTAGTTAACGTAGTGATTGTTCTAATGGGTCGGCACAGATTGCCTCTTATTATTTTCTGTAGATAGTTTGACCAAATCGTGTGAACAAAATTGACATCAATTCCTACATATATGATGACGCACAAATTTTGGCATAGAAACACCATATGAAACTGTTAAGGCTTTATATGTTTGATCTAAAGTATATATGGTGTAAGATATCTGTTATCACTGTTGAGGATGTTTGTCAGATTTTCACAAAAGTTTAAAGGAATAAAATGCTCTCTTTCATTCCATTGAAATTCACTCAGAAAAAAATATTCTAACAATTTGGGAATTTATCATTAGTTGTTTACCATGAATTTGAACAGTGTATAGCATTCCACCATTTGCTGCATAGCTTACTTAAAAAAAATGCTAGGTTCGCTAAAGAGAGTTACAGTAGAGTGTCATCTCACTTCTGTCCACACAATTGTTACATGTTTGCCACCCAATTCACACAGGGCACTAAAATAGTTAACTTCACCATGGTGATGCATTTTCTACAGGAGTACTTTGAAAAATGGGGACATCAAGGCATAGTTGACCTAAAGCAAGAATTGAACCAATTACTCATGCTAATCTCTGGGCGATGCTTACTGGGGAAACAGGTTAGGGAGAAGATGCTTGATGAGTTCTTTACTCTGTTCCAAGAACTCACCGATAAATTCTTCCCGTACGTCCCAACTCCAGCAACTCGACGACGTGACATAGCACGTGCCAAGCTCTCAGAGATGCTCACTGAAATTGTGAGATCACGCAAGGAATATAGCCATGTTGAGAATGACGTGCTGCAGAACTTTATTGATTTCAAATATAGTGATGGTCGGTCTACAACAGAATCAGAGGTCATTGGATTGATGATTACTTTGATCCTTGCAGGAAAACATACAAGCACCATCACTAGTATATGGACAGGTGCTCACTTGCTTGCTAGTGCAAGGATCCTGAAATCTGTCCTCGTGGAGCAAAAGATATTAATCAGTAAGTACGGGGATCATTTAGACTATAATGCCTTTCTAGAGATGGACACCTTGCATAATTGCATCAAAGAGACGCTACGCATCCATCCTCCAGTTGCTATATTTCGTCGCAAGGTACATAAGAACTTCATTGTACAGACAAAGGATGGTATTGAATATGAGATCCATAGCGGGCATACCTTAGTAAGCCCAGTGATATTCAATAACAATTTACCTCACATTTATAAGGACCCAGATGTGTATGACCCAGACCGATTTGGTCCTGGAAGAGAAGAAGACAGAGTTGGTGGTAAGTTTGCTTACACGTCATTTAGTGGTGGAAGGCATGCTTGCAAAGGCGAGTCATTTGCTTATTTGCAAATTAAGGTGATATGGAGCTATTTGCTAAGAAACTTTGAGCTAAAATTGGAATCTCCTTTTCCTGATCCTGATTGGACCAAGCTAGTCGCGGAGCCTAAAGGAAGAGTAATGGTGAGTTACAAGAAGCGGCTGCTAGCTACCACCGAGGTTGTGCATGCCTAGCTACTTATGTGGATCCAATAACTAAGTATGCTTGTGTGTGTAATATGTATGCACGTATCATGTTCATGACACATGTTGTATGGACTGATGTTGCCATTATCAAATACAGCTGGTACCATGCATGGGAGCTTAAAACGGGAATTGGAAATGATATATCTCTCTCTCAAGAAAAGGAAGAACTTGGAATGGCAAATGCAAAAAGAACATTATGTTAACACCAGCATTATGTGTAATAAATCATCTGTTTGATCACTAGAACGTACTTCTATATACAAATCCAATGCAACCAACCTCTTTTTTAGCACACGTTTTCATATTGTTAGACTACTTGTTAGTCAAAGACTACAATGTGAATCTTTGAGTGCTTGTGGGCCTTATATTTTGGGACCGAGGGTGTAAGTGTGCAATAAATTTCTTTAATTTTACTTAAATTTTTATTATATAATTGTCATTGTATAGTTTCCATATAATACCATTTGCACATATGATTCTCTAAGTCTTAATGAACACTCGGAAGTGCTAGTGTGCCCGGACGTCCGGACGGATGCCTGCGCTTGCTTCGTGTCGCATGCCCCGCCTGCTTGGATTCGCACGTTCTGGTTCGTGTGCACACACTGGAATCCACGCACCCTGCCCACGGATGCGTGTTGCATGACTCCGGCCGTCCCATCCAAGAGTATACACTTGAAACATCAAACATTTGCTGTAACATATGTTTGAAACAGATGAAATATTTGCAACATACACATGCAACATATGTTTTAACATATGCAACATTCAAATAAAACGCTTGCAACATACGTCTGAAACAGATTAAACATTTTGAACGGATGCTGGTAACTTACGTATATAGCCATTGCAACATATACAACATCCTGATCTACTTTTGTAACATCCATATGAAACACTTGCAACGTACCTCTGAAACATCTAAAACAATTGAAAACATATGTTTGCAACATGTGCTTTCAGTGCAACATCTCCTTGCTGAGGTCGCGCGTTGCGGCGACAACGACCTTCCTGGTGGGGAACTACAGCAGCGGCAACACCTCGGCACAGCGGGGGATGGAATCGGTAATATCCGCAAGGTCACTGTGCCCATGATTGGCAAATAAGTTGGCTATGCCATTGACACTGCCACCAAAAATGAACAAGGTCATTTCTACTATGACAAACGAAAACCACATTGATTATAATGCGTTTCACTATATTGTTTTTTGCATGTCACCGACCTACAGTGCGCGAGGCAGTCTCCCGGAAGCGTGCTTTGTGGCTACTTTGTATGTCAATTTATGATAACCAACAGGTGGTACTACACTAACCTTAAAGACATAAGTCGATTTGTCGAACCATATCATATACATATGTTCATTAATATGAATCTAGCTAATTTTGCTCCTTTTGTTTCGTGCAGCATACGGCGTTTTCACCTCCCGTGCAATTAACCTAAAGGATATTCAAGAAGATTAAGATGATTTCTACAAGTTCTTGATGCGGGAGGTTCTCTGCGAGAGGGGCTTATTCTTTGATCGTTATACAGAGTATGCCACACATCCCAAGTTTGAGTCTCTTCGCGCTGCAGAACAACCCTTCAAATCATTGTTGTGATGAAGCACAATGTTATTTACTAGCATGTAATGTAAATTACAGTATGCTACAAATACTTTGTGAATCAAGTTTGTATTATTTAACTAGTCCACTAGTATATGTGAAGTTTATTTGAATCAATTGCAATAGGCTCTGAAATTTGGTGGGAAATGGGCGATTTCAAATATGGTGGAAAATTTTAAAAATTTAAATCTGATTTTTAGGGGCGGTTCAGATTGAGCAGGATCACACTTGTAAATCTATTTTTAGGGGCGGTTTCAATAAGCAACAGCCCCATAAAATGTGTTTTTAGAAGTGGTTTGCATTGCCACAACCATCCTTGAAAAAACAGTTTCAAGGACAGTTGCAGTCACTTTACAGGGGCGGTTCATTTATTGAAACCGCCCCTGTAAATAGATTTTTAGGGGCGGTTCTCCTATTGCAACCACCCCTGAAAATACCATTTCAAGGTGCGAACACTACAAACGCCCTATCTTTACAATCGATGGGATAGTAATGGTTTTCTAAACCGGCTCTGAAGACCATTTTTGACCACTTGTAAAAATCTTTTTTGTACTAGTGCATGTTGGTTCCATGCTTCAAGAAGTGGAGGTAAGTAACAACTTCCTCGCAAAAATAAGTAACAACTAACCAAGTCTAAACCTTGATGCCTAAATCAAATAAGATATGGTTTTGTGAAGCATAACCTGATTGGATATTATTTCTCCTAGAATATGTAGTCTTCCAAACCAGCATGAAACTTGGTGTCTGTTGTTCTGAGCCATTTATGAAAACTCCAAAAAAAAAGATTTTGGGTCCAGATAAATTTGATTGACTATCATTCCAGTTAATGTGGTGATCCTTCTAATTGGTTGGCACAAATTACCTATTATTGTTCACTTTAACTAGTTTTGTCAAATCATGTCAAAAAAAACGCACATCCGTTCCTACACATATTATGCACATAAGAACAAAATTGGATATGTTAACAATAAAGGAAGCATAAAAATGTGAGATTGTTTGGTCTGAGTATATGGTATAAGATGCAGTCAGATTTGACAACATTTGACATGGATTTAGTTAGTTTATTGTGAACCTGCACAATGTATAAGAGTTTTCCACCATTTTCACTACTACATAAACTTTACTGGAGGCGGGCGATTTGGGTTTCCCGCGGCGGGCAAAGCCGTCCGCCGCGGCCTAGAGGCCACGGTAAATCGTGGCTTAACCGTGGCGGGCGGCTTTGCCCGCCGCGGTTAACCGATTTACCGCGGCGGGCGGTGTAACGTGCCCGCTGCGGTAAATATACTTTTACCACGGCGGGCACGTTACACCGACCGCCGCGGTAAATTATTTTACCGCGGCGGACACCTTTTGTGGCCCACCGTGGTTATGTTGATTAGCCGTGGCGGGCTTTATTATTTGCCCGCCTCGGTAAATTATTTCCTGAATTAAAAAATACAGCAGGCATATAAATTCAAATTCAAATTCAAATCACATCCATATTTCACAGATTAAACTTAAAAAGTATGCAGGCATTACACATGAGATAATATACATATATATATATATACATTCACTTAGTCGTTCTTGTCATCGTTAATTCATTACATTTACATATTAAAGTCGTTATACATGCGCTAAGGTGTAATCCTGCGGACGGATCATCGTGGGCCATTTCCTCAGCCTCTCGTACTCTGGTAACCTCGCTAGCGGGCTGTTCTCATGGAAGAACGTGCCCCCTTCAAGCACGCATTTGTCTAAGACAAACTTATATATGTCCGCCTTTGTCTGCTTGAAGCTGTGTTGGATGCTCTGCATGTCTCTCGACCAGTTCAATCCATTCTTGAGCACCCTCCAACTCGCTCTTTGTCTTCGCTTGCACACCCTCAGAACTCACAGCGTAGAAGCCACAGGTTTGTGATCCTACCGGTTATTTGGCAATCGCATGATCGACACATAAGCATTACAACACAGGCATTAGAATGCATATGAACGGAAAGCACAATTAAACCTTTCAAATACTTACCGGAAAGTTGCGTCTGATTTTGATGCGGTTCTTATGCTTAGCCTTAAAATTCTCTGTTCTTCGATCATAGCATTCAGGATCCTTCACGTACTTCCTTATAAGCGCTATATATGAAATGTACTAGTATTAGATAGGGCATTAGAACGCAAATGAGAAGACAGATCAGTCACTTACACTTTGAGGCAATCTTCAAAGGCCTTGTACCCTTTTAAGTTTGGCAGTGTCAACGAATCAAATACGTAGGCCCTGCCATCCTGAGGGTAGATGATAAATGCAACCCAGTGACCCTCGAGGCCTTGGCTGCGCCATTGAAACAAAATACAGGTTACGACGAGAAATAATCATTCTAGCTAGCTACCCACTTATCTCTACAGGCATGTCTTCGACTTACCCAAAGTGGTAGGCAGCTAGGATACACCCATGTCCCCTAATCTTCTTCATTGCTCCTAGTATGTACCTTGAAATGTTCAACTTCTCATTGTCCATCAGTTTCTTCCTGTGCGCCTCTCTCTGTCGCTTGGTCAAGTCTTTCATGGTTGGATGATTGTCATCTAGGTGGTAACCAATGATGATTCTTTGAGCAATATGCATTGGAGATAGATAGATAACATCAAGTTTTAGTTCCTTAGATATATAGGCCATCAACCTGCAAGGACAAGCCATCGTGGCATATATAAGTAGTCTTGACCGATTCAAAGGCAGGTGATATGTGAAACTCGCAATTCATCACTTACATAGAGAACAAGGTGACTTGGGCGATGTCAAGGTCTTGTTCCCGCAGTAGTCTATACATGTCGTGGAAGTCCACGGGGAGTTCTACATCGTTGCCGGGCAAGTGGAAGTACTCCGCCACAACCTTGACTAGAAAACCATGCAGGCCAGCTTTTGCCGCTTCCATGTACCAGGCGCTGTGTATTTGTATAGGCTTTACTGCGGCGGGCAAGATAAAGCGCCCGCCTTGGTAAATCAACTCTTTACCGCGGCAGGCAGTTTAAAGTGCCCGCCACGGTAAATCGTATTAACCGCGGCGGGCGATTCATACCGCCCGCCGTGGTAAATAACGATTTACTACGGCGGGCAAGTAAGGTGGCCCGCCGCGGTAAACCCTTTTCCCGCAGCGGGTGCCTCGGTGGCCGGCCTCCGATTAACCGCGGCGGGCAAAAGAAGTGCCCGCCACGGAGCCCATTTTGGCCACGCTGCGCAAATTGATTCCTATAGTAGTGTTTCTACATACCATGTTTTCTCACAAATGCTAGGTCCACTATTGGGAGTGACATTAGAGCCTCACCTCACACCTGTTCACAGAGCTGTTACATATGTGCCACCCAGTTTACACATGACAGTCAAGTAGTTAATTTACATCATGGCCATCATCTTGAACAGG